GAATTTTTAGAGGGGTCGAAAATTTTGGAGTTTTCACGGTACTAATTATTCCATTTCAATGAAACTTAGTACAAAGATGCTCTAGGACAATGTACAAACCTAATTAGTTTGGGGTAAAAATCTGTTCATATTAATTCCCTAATAAGCATAATAATTCATAATTTTTTGGTTCTAATCACATTTCAATTAAACTTGGAGACATAGATTTTCTGTTACATTGCGCAGACCTCATTAGTTTTACACTCAAATCTGGTCATATTAATTTTCTGTTTTGCATAATTAGTTTTCAGCTAAGTAATTTCGAATTATATTTAATGAGTCTCCAATACTCCAATACTCTCAGCACATGGGAGTTCTTTCTAAGCTTTCTTTGATTATGTTTGTGATTGGTCCTGGCACTGTTTAGGGAACCGTGACGTAGCTCCGTCTTTGAGAATGTTTCTGAACATTCATTTGTATTAGTGGCATGCAGTTATCCAGAGTGACAAAAGTGCATTTTCCAATCTGACAGTTGAATAAAAATAAGGAAATACAGGGTTGTTTTGTCTTGTATGGAGTGAAAGTATTTACTGCATTGCCACAGGGTTTTGTGAATTATTACTTTGACAGTTCCAAAAATTTCCCAGATTTCTACAAGTTAGCAGCAGTTTCTCTGGTCAAACCTGTATCCAGTGTTTCATTTGAACATTCATTCTCTTGCCATTCTGTTTACCTAAATTGAAGAACTGTCTTGCACCTGCCCATTTGAAATCTAGTACTGATTTTAATTACCAATTTTAACAGTCAGTAAAATAGAAAAAAAGTTGTGTAAACTTGCTATCTGACTATTGCCACAAAAAAAAGTAGATACAATGGAATGAATATACTGTACTGGGCCATGTTAGCACCCATGCCCGATCAAGCGCCCACTCCCCACTTTTGCGCAATTTTATATTCGGGTCACATTCAGCAAAGCGCCCACCCCCTTCAAAATGCCTCTAATTTAAAACTCAGTCTTTGATCATTGCTTAACGAATAATCGTTTATTTGATACAGCATGGATATCAACCATCGTGAGTATGTTGTGAATGCGTAAACCACGGTAATAGTGCGTAAACTACGCTTCGACAATGACCTGTTAATAAAAGTACAATGTGGTAAATACTTCATGCCATATTCAGTTTACCTAGTATCAAAAAATGCTAGTTACCAGTTTTTTGAAAACCATGTCGTTTATTCGCCAAAATCAATAAAACAAATATGAGTAAATTGAGTAAAAGTATTGAACTTTATTGGTGCGTATGTGTGTGTACATGTTGTGTATGAACTAGATATAACCAAAAAAAAGGTGGGACCCTAAATATTTTGCAGGTACAGGTGATTTGAAAAAAATGTGGTTCCCAGGGACCCTCTATTCCCAATCACTATAGCAACCCCTGTCCACGGCCAAGATAAAATATTCATATTACTGGTCAGTTTACTATGCTTAGGGTTATATCAGATAAGCCGTCAGATTAGCCGTCAGATTAGCCAATGGATTACTTTGGTGTCCAATGTGTCTTTAAGTCCCAAGCTTTGGGGAATTAATATACATGCAATATTTGTTATGTAGTATTTGATACACTGTCTATCCTAAACCTTGTCTGAGGGCAATCTTTTGCAAAAAACACTGTCAGTTTCTTCTTGAAAATAAATAAATCTTTTCTACCTGTATTCAAGAATACAGTGTAAACTTGACAATGAGTTATCACAATGAAAATACTTCTTGAGTGATATGTTTATCTCACAAAGATCCTAATTTCCTTTTTCTTTTTTTAAAAAAACGTACCATTTAGCATATTTTAGAACCAATTCAAGTTGAAGGACTTTCATTTTCTTATTTTTTGTAAGAACCGACTTGTTCTATCATGCCAAAGAACATTAGTTTCCGGTCAACTCGTGCGTGGAAAAACATGGCAGACAACGTTCGTATAGTTTGTTTGTGTGTGTGTGTGTGTGTGTGTTCGAAAACATTCTTTTTCAGTGAATCCAAGTTGAATTTTACTTGCATTTCATAACAAACGGTATTATAATCATGGCCGGTAATAAAGTTTGTACACCTCAAAAACAAGTAAGATATTTGACTGCAAGATGTGCAAAGTTAGCAATGTTGTTCGTATTTCTTTTTATTTAAAACTTCCTCTATACTCATCGTTACCATCAAAATTAAAGCCAATACATTAAAATTAAAAAAATTTGTTATCATATGTAAATACCAACAATTTTTTCTTGGATGTGAATTTTTTGAATCAAGGCATTTCACTCTTGCCTAATGCCAAAACTAGAATATTGTAGAATACTTTATTTTCGTTTGGAATTTATTTTCGCTATTTTCGCTGAAGGAATGATTCCGTGAAAATAAAATCCAGCGAATATACTTTTTTTCCTATATTTCACATTAAACTCATCATAAATCAGTGAAAATAAATTCCATACAAAACACCCAAAAAGCCTTTTCAGCGAAAATTAATTCCAGCGAAAATAAAGTATTCCACAGTACTATGATTATTTTGAGATAAATAAGAGATAACAACACTGCACCAAAAGATGATCCTGGGTTATGTTTACCATGCACAGGACAATGTGTTATAATCACTACTGGGTTTGAACACCTGGGAAAATGCAGTTCACACTCGTAGTCTCTGCACATCTTATAACATATACCGGTACGCCCACAATGTTTACTATTTCAGGTAATGCCTCGATTTTCATATAATGTGAAAAACCTGCTTTTGCAAATACTTGCCCGAAATTATGGAATAATTTTTTTTTTTAAATATAAAATGTGTCATTTGGCTACTTTTTCAACTGTCCAGAAATTTTTTTTATTTTTTTTTTTACTTATTATTAATTTTAGACTGGATCAGTGTTAGATGCACAGTGGCCAGCAGCAAAGCCGGTGGATGATATACTAGTGAGGTCTTCTCAGTATCTAATGGATTCTGCTCATGATTTCCGTCTTCGTCTCAAAAACATGATGCAGCCTGGGAAAGGCAAGGTAAGGGTAGCCAAGTGGTTGTTGCACCAGACACTTGCATTCTGAGTTTACTTATTCAATTATGAATGTTATATTTGGATTAGGTTCAGTGGTTGCTTTGTCTGAGCATTGAGATACTGCGATAAATTGATAATAATGTGATAATATGTCATAATATCGAAATATGTTAATGGAGCAAATGCACTTTTGGCATTGTCAATGTGCACATGTACAGTCTATGTCACGAACAGTTATCTGGCATTAAATATATTAAAACAAAACAAAAAGGGAGTAAATTGGACCTTGTCATAAACAGTGAGCAAAATGTTCACTCTAAATAGACTATGGTTTGAACATTTGAAATCAAATGAAATCAAACTTTTTTCTTGTACACATCTATCTAGAACTTTTTGTTTACACTTTCTTTATACATGTAACAGTGCGTGTATTTTGATACCATGTTTTCAAGAGCTCGTGAACTTTTGAATACAAATATTAAATACTAGCCGACTCGCCCCCAAATTAGTTAAAAAATGTTTCAAGGGGAAATTTTGCATACCATTTACAACAAGTTTTCCAATGACTCGCCAAGGATTCGCTTACCATTTAACTATTAACTGGGGGAGTGGGGGTGAACACATGTTGGCAAATAGTGTCAGTAACATACTGTTCTACCACAGCTACGGTACTTACATTTGTACTGTTAGCGTTATCAACTTTTTTTGTCCAATATGACTGCCCAATGTGCAATTCTCATGTAAAAGCACTGAATCATAATTTTTGGTTTCAATCAATAACTTCATCAGCATCAAATTGATATGTCAGATCACAAAATTTTGGACGGGGACTGTGTCATTAACAATGACTTGTTTTTTAGCTCCGCTGTCGACTTTGTCGAGCGGAGCTTATCATATGAGTGATTGTCCGGCGGCGTCCGTGTCAATGTTTTACTTTTTCGACTTCTTCTTGAAAACTACAAGCCTGAATGCTTTGATACTTGGTGTATATGTACCTTGGGTAGACCTCTCTCAGATTTGTTCATTTCATGATCATATCTTCAATTCTCTAATTTTGGTGAATATTTTTGTCATTTTTGGTAAAAAGTGATATTTTCAACTTCTTGTTAAAAACCGCAAGTCCAATTGCTTTGATATTACATATTTAGGTACTACATGTGGACCTCTCTCAGATTTGTTCATTTTGTAATGATATCTTTAATTCTCTAATTTTGGTGAATATTTTTGTCATTTTTGGTAAAAAGTGATATTTTCAACTTCTTGTTAAAAACCGCAAGTCCAATTGCTTTGATATTATTACATATATAGGTACTACATGTGGACCTCTCTCAGATTTGTTCATTTTGTAATGATATCTTTAATTATCTAATTTTGGTGAATATTTTTGTCATTTTTGGTAAAAAGTGATATTTTCTTCTTGTTAAAAACCACAATCATTTATGGTGAAAAATGATATTTTTGCATTCTTGTTGAAAACAGCAAGTCCCATTGCATTGATACTATATGTATTGTTCATTTTCTAATGATATCTTCTGTTCTTTAATTGAAATGTGCATTGCTAACAGCGGAGCTATCTCAGCCGAGAGGCTGCTTGTTGTAGTTTTAAATTTTATTTTAATCTCGTCATAAACTCTGCACCGAGTTCAATTCTAGTATGTTTTACATTTTTATTTGTAATATTGATGAATATGAAGGTTGAAAAATTGTTGTTGCACGATCAGCATGAATTTTAGATCAACATCTTTTTCTTTTTTTTGAACATTAACCCCCCCCCCCCCAAAAAAAATACATTACGAAATTGCTTGAAGAATTTCGTGGTATTCCTGTTATGGACCTTAAGATTAATTCAGTGCATGTAATATTCATTGGGGGACCAAGATTTTACCATGTTACAGTGAACACAAGATGTTTTCAAACACCTAACTCCCGCACCTGGTAGGCAATTGTCATGGGGCTTTGCAACATCCACAGACACTTTCCTAGACACAATAAAGTTACATGGCCGCTTACAAGACAGTTAATCAAAACCTTGGTAATATTATATGCCTTTGATGTGTGGCTACGAAGGGTAGTTGGACTATTCCATTGCTTTGTAGGTACACAAATCATTGCTGTGTAACTTGGAAGAAATCAAATACAAACATAAAACTGGGAATGCATATTAATGAAAAAAATGATTTGTTTGATTGCTAGTTTGTTGAGATGGGTTTATATTAATAATATTAGTGTTGTGAGTGTCACGTTCTACATTTCTCGCATAATGGCTGGTCGCATTGCCAGAACATTCATCGCCCACTCAATCTTTCCCTGGAATCTTGTACTTAGATTCACCTCCACGCTGTCACCTTATACATTTGTACCTGTTTCAAATAGCCTTCAGATTTGAGACGAAATTTTATAAACTCAACAATCTCTTGAGTAGACTTTAGTCGACAACAGCAGACAACAGAATTTCCTTGGCGATCGTTCGCAAGTAGAGATTAATCTCCATCTGAGTGTCTTTCTCTACACGCTTTGACATAATAGCAATTATTGTTCAAAATCGGAAATTGCATTAAAAACTAAACTGTTCTCACAAAAGTAATTCGGATAAACTCATTTGTATTTGTATATTTGTATCAATGTGGTTTAATTATTATTTCCGCGAAACGTTAAATATAGAATTTGTTAAATAAACGAGCATATGTATGCATGAAATAATAAAGTGTCAGATATCAACAATGAATAAAATGTGATTGATTAATAAATGTTTGACTGGACACTTACACGTTGTAATAGTTGAACCCATCTGAAACCGTGGTCTGTTCTTTTGATTAACTGTCACATAGGCGTGTATGTAACTTCATTGCCACTACAATGGTTGCTGGAATGTCTAGGAAAGTGCCTGGGGATGTTGCAAAGTCCCTCGGTAATTGCTTACTGGGTGAGGGAGTTATGGTGTGTGTAAATTTCTTGCACCCGCTGTAAGCCATACTTTATATACCTTGCATCAGTCAATACGAGTAATGACGGAGAATTCATAGCTAGATCTTATTGGTTGCTCTAAGGCAAGTAACGACTTCACTATGCAAGATTATCACCTGTGTAAATCTGATCTATTTTATTATTACTGTACTGAATACCTCTTTTTTTTTTATTCATTTTAGCACAAACTGATATTAACCGTGTCACCACCAGTTCCCTCTTTTCATCACAAATTAAAAAAAATAGTACGCTTATAGTCTGAACTTTCCTTCAAAAGGTTGGGACAAAAATAGCTAAATTTTTTGAGTAAAAACTGAAAATTGACTAAAATATTGTATGTTGGCTTCAAAATTAGGGTTTCAGAATTAATGAAGAATATAAAAATAAAGTGCAGAAAAAATTTGGGCAAGAAAGTCTGGTGGTGAAAATGTTAAAACCATTATTCAGAGTATACTTTTGCCCTGTATTTGCTAAACTTTATTTTGGTTTGAATTTTCCCACCTGCGATTCACACACTGGCACCAAATTAAACCTTTTAATACACCTTCAAATTTCGCTATGTTTTTTTTTTTTTTTTTCAAATCTAGAAAGCTGTCATCCCTCCCACCAAACCGTCACATGGTATTCTGTACGTAGCCAAGACATACCCACCATGGCAGCATGCAACACTTGTCTGTTTGAGACAACAGTATGATGTAAGTATTCATGTTAGCCAATTAGGGGCAGTCATTTAGGTCACATGACTGATATCAAAATGAAGCACCCGAGTGATGGAAGCATCAATGTTGGCCAATCAGGGGCAATCTTTTAGGACACATGACTGATATTAAAATGAGATGTAACTTTATTTTATATGAATTGCATTCTATATTTTATTGTTTTGACAGTGTAGGTCAAATTCAAATGCTGTTTTTCTTATAATTTTCTTTATTTCAGAAACACGGTAAGACGTTCCCAGACAATAAGGAAATTCTCACAGAACTGAAAACGAAAGATGAACTAAAAAAGTACATGAAGAAATTAATGCCATTTGTACAAACTGTTAAGGTAAAGATTTCAATTGTTTGTATGACAATAAATCTGTTTATAACAACACAAACCTATCAAAATTGTTTTCATTATAATTATTATACACAACTGTAACTGTAAAGAAATACCAATTAGATTTGAACCATTTGTAGTTGAAATTGTATTTAAAATTTTGTTGTATTTGTTTTTGATGATTTTTGCTGACTTTACAGATAAGATTCTCGGCTGATCTGCACTGGCTCGGAAGATGAATTCTGATTGGCTAAAAAAACAAAAAAACTTGTGGCGTTGAATGCACGTTCATTGTCAGTATTGTTATGCATATTCAAACTAGCTAATCATTTACAACCTTCCGAGCCAGTGCAGATTAGCCCAAGATTCTTTCTAAACATGTAAATAAATGACAGCGATTTTCCACTATCCCAAATTTGAAAAATTCAGCAAAATGTGACTTTTTTTTAGTAAAAATGGCATGACGTTTAAATATACATAAATAAATCCTTCAGACAAAACATAATAAATTTTCTTTACATTCTTGTGAGCTAAAAAATTAACAATATTTATAACAATAGAACACTTGTTCTACCCCTATTAACAAAAAATAGCAAATAAAACGTTTTTTCTTTTAGTTTTTATACATGCTACTCTTAATATAAATATGTTGAATTTTCCAATAAGTTCCAGAAATTTATTTCAATTGAATTAAGAATTGATTTGATTTGTTAGAGCAGTTTTCGAGGAAACTATAAGAGTTTATGTAACAGCAATTGCTGCCATAGACACTATGAGCAGATGTGTGTCTGTAAATCAGCTGTTCATGTTTTTTTGAGATATTAAATTTGTGGTTGCATCACAGTAATCATTGTAGACAGTACATTACTATAATCAGCTTTATTGTCATTAGAAACAAACTATTATCAGGCGAAATTTGATAGTGTTGAAAATTAATGAAACTATTTATAGTAAACTACCTATTTCCTATTATTACTTCCGTCAATACTTCAAGAAAATTCTCTTGAAAATTGATTTGTTGTGATCTGGCCATGTGAATTAAATTATTTGTTTTGCATTCTTTAGCATGTATGTTTTGTATATTATTATTTCCTCAATGGACCATAGGTCCGCCGAGCCTATGGGATGGGTTTCTGTCTGTCGTCTGTCTATCTGTCTACCTGTCTGTGCACGACTTCTTCTCAAAAACCACCGAACCGTTTGACTCGATTTTTGGTGTGTTGTGGATGCCTTGATGAATGTAGATGGTATTTTGTTCATGAGAAGTCGATTTGCCAAAAATTTTGCATATTAGCCCCCCAAAACTCTAAAATTTCTTCTATGCTACTATGACACTAAGTGGTCTACAGTGCTGATATTGATAGTGTATGTGCCTTGGGTTGTCCTCTATCAGTTTTGTTAATTTAGTAAGGTAATTTTCAATTTCCTAATTTTGGCGAATATTTTAAAATGGTCATTTTGGGTCAAAAATTCTATTTTCGATTTCTTCTTCAAAACGGTTAGCCTGCGTGCTTTGATACTTGGTGTGTATGTACCTTGTGTTGACATCTACTAGATTTGTTCATCCCATGGCCATATCTTTAATTCTCTAATTTTGGCAAATATTTTTGTCATTTTGGGTTAAAAATGGAATTTCAACTAACCACTATTTCCAATGCTTTAGTGTTAGGCATACACGTGTTTATTATTCCATTGACAACTTTGTGTGGTTGTTTGGCGATATTTCATTTAAATGTGTATAGACATGATTGATTTTGGTGGGAAATTATGCAAATTGGCTAATTTACATACCAATATATAGGCTATTTTGGTGATACCTTAAGAACCATTTAATATGTTTTAATAAAACTTGGTGCATAAATGTGTTGGGGCAGTTTCCAGATATATCTAGTTTTTGGTGGGAATTTAGATTTGCATATCAGCTAGTGAAATTCAAGCTATTTCAAGAACCATTCAACATATTTCAACAAAACTTGGTATATACATGTATTACGAATTCAGATAATTGCAAATATCATGTTATGTTATTTTCTCAACATGCTGGAGTTCTTTTTAAGCTCTCTTTGATTCTAATTTTATTGAATATTTGTTATTTTTGTAAAAAATTCCACTTTTAGCATTATGTTTTATTGTCTCACTCACTGCCTTTTGAGGTATTTGTCATATACAGCACTAATCTTTTGTACAATAGCCGTTGAGCAACAGGCCATTGGCCTATTTTTAATGAAACAAACATACACGATTGTTTCCTGTACAAATTAAGATTCAGAATAAACAATGGTCATGTTCATTGTCAAAAATTAATCCCAATCTTCATCCTAAAATTATAAACACATTTGACAGTCTATTACATATTGTAGATCGTAATGTTGAGCTGCATCGTCATGGCTACCATCAAATTGGCAATTTTTGAAAAATAATAGTTTCTCATAATGCGTCACTGTAACACACAAAAGCTCTGTGATTTTACATAATAAACCATTGAACATTTCATGCAATTTATGACCAACTTTCTCAAAAATTACGAGTAGAACTTTACCTTAAGCAAAAACATAAACGGATATATTCCGTGAGAAAACCATACACTTAAGGGAATCTGAGTTTGTTTGTTTTGAATCATATCATGACTGCCTTTCTGATTTCATACAAAATAGATAATATTGTCACTTTGTCAATACTATTGCAGTCAATCTGCTTATTTGTTCAGAACTGCTGTCTGTTTAACAAAAATATTGTCTTTGCCAGCAAAATGTACTTGACAAAGGACCCCACGCCATGGATTTGACGTCGGAGTTTGATGAAAGACAAGTTCTCTTAGACAACTTACAGTATCTTATGTACACACTAGAAGTAAGTCATAGTAATTTTATTTTATTAGTCCCCCTTTTAAATGAAGTTCAAAAACAGGGACTTGTAATTCAGTCTCCGTGCATCTGTCTGTCCATCTGTATGGAGTCATATTTAACAACAAGTGACCATCATGTTTATTGGCCATACTACTTCATCTCAAAGTTGAAATGTACTTTGTTTGTATTATTTATCATATTTTTGTATTGTACATTATAATACATGCCTGTGTTTATTTGTAGGAATATCTTTCAAATGTTGTATTAAATATTCATTGTCAAAAAATCAAAATAACTAAGAAAATTAATAAATATAAGAAAAAATGTATATACAGTTTAATAGGATAACATGAGTGAGTCAGGTTGCAAATAAATTCATGAGTGGCAAGATTTACTCCTGTGATGCATATTAAGACTATGGATGTGAGTAAACTTCAACTGACATTGTATATAAAAAATATAAAATACATTGTACTGGTAGGTTAGTCAGTTGGTACATTGTCATGTTTGACTTGTACTTGTCCTCTGTTCGCATTAAATTGTAAAATTTCTTAATTTCCCACCATGAATACATTGTTAGTAAGAGTGTCATTGGATAACGCTATAACAAATAACCTGGTATATACTAAGATACTGGTGACAAAGCACTTTACTTTGAATACAAAAATTATATAAATATGAGAAATAGAAATATAAAATTTGTGGCCATATATTAGATTTTTGATGATTTCAGATTAGTCTATATATTATTGAAACTCAATTACTGACCATACAGAACAAATTTATTCAGAAACAATTTACCAGGGTACATTGACCAGTGATTTGTATATCAATTTGATTGCACATGTTACACATGTAGCAATAATGTCCATATGTATTCCATTTGTAATCAGAGAAGAGGCGACAGACTTACAGCTATCTTGCTTTTTGGTTTAACATGTACGAGTATTACTTTATACTAAACTTGAATAAGATTTCCATTAATTGCAATGGGACTGTTTCATTACCAATGACTTGTTATTTGTAAATTTTGTTTCATGCTTTTAATATTTCTTGAATATTTGCTGCAATTAGTTTTTAGATGTATAGCGCCAACTAGTGCTGCTTTTGATATTTGCTGCTGTTAGTTTGAGGATGTATAGCGCCACCCAGTGGTGGTTTTGCAGTGTGGGTGATATTGTGAAAGCATAAACTTTTATTTGAGCATTTGGGGATTATTTTTCAAATGGATAACAGCTAGGTTAAGAGATTTCACTTCATCACTAAAACTAACAGTCAATAAAAACAATAAATTTGTAGCAGTGAATGGTCATTTACACATGAGAATTTGCTTCCAATAGAAATGTGGTGTTCGCATTAATGGGAAAAATACAATGAACAAAAAATCTAACTCATCTTATAAATCACTTTTTTCCTCCACACTTCAGACACATCTCAGTTGATCGAAATTGGAATAGAATTCTTTATAAATTAAAAATAACCATAATAAAAAAAAACCTCAACTGGAAAATTCTCTGCACCCACAAGATTTTATAGTTATACATGTTCTTGAACTGTGATTATAGATACTATACATTTTTGCTTACAGTTGGAATCGATAGACATCAAGTTTTCAGATGAAGCAGATGGTAAAATCAAGGAAGACTGTACACCAGGAAATCCTTTCTCTGTGTTCACATCTCAGGTATTTTCACTATATCTGGCATTGAAAAGTATTTACATGATTTTTTTTTTTCATTCTTGAAAACATTAATTGGCCTGCTATGCCTTGCAGATAAAAAAAAAAGAAACAAAATTAAAAGTAATAATTTGATTTATATAACTTAACTAGTTGATACTGGTAAATAGTTGAATATCATATTTTAAAAAAACATTTCAATTTCAATTGTCCTTGTCAGTGATTTTGTAGGGATCCTGAGTGAAAATGGAATAGCAAAAATCAGATTGCCAGTTTATTGAATGGTGGAGAGGTCGGCGTTTAAGAAAAGATAGAATTGTATGTGACTGTAAAGAAAACTTACGCCACAAACACAAAACTGCTGTGATAACTGATTTCCATTTACCATTAACATTTTCTTTTTAATACCAAATCACATAATGAATAACTATCGTGAGATGTTTTTCAAGATCCAGCATGAAATCATTGTACGATATTCTGTTGTGTCAATGATGTGCCAGTGAATTAATAAAGCTAGTTATGTCACAGCAAATCTTTGTGTGTCATATCGACTTAGAGAACACACTGCTCCTGGTGTTGATACAAAAGCTGTGGGTAAGACCCCGTTAAGATGACACTAGGTCATGCTTTATTTTGTGATGTCATCTAGTTGATAGAAACTTCTCTATACATTGTATGTGAAGTCAAATCACCTTGGTTTTTCTCCAACTGATCTGATTTGCTTCTCTGCGTTTTAATTTCTTTCATGTTGCTGTTTGACATTTCAGCCGTCAGTTGATATTCATCTAACCAATCCGCAACCATCAAGTGGTCACTTCTCTATGACAATACCTATCAGAGATGGGGATACTGTGGACAAAGTGATAGCAAGAATGGCCAAATTGGACAGAGGGATCAAAGGTAAATGTTACCTAAATATCATTTAATAATGCTCAGAAGTACATCACCTCAGCAGCAAAAAATCCTATTTATGGCATCAATGTATGTCTAAAAAAATGTTGTGTGTTGTTACAGTTGTTGCCATGGTTGTGTTTGTCCAGCCTGTATTCCACTTCATAGGCCAAATGCAAGTACGGATTAGTTTTTTGGTACAAAACTGTGCATATTAATTACCTTGTTTGCATATTCATTAATAAAAGTATCTGAGCATTAGTATGTTTGCCAAGCACCAGGACAATTTCCTGAGGCCACTTTCTACATAGCAGTCTTCCTTACCTTACAAATATGTGCTATTTGGTTTGGGAAGTGTTTAGTATTAATGTAGAAAATAAAACCCTCAACCAAAATGCAAAATCCATTTAACTCAAATATGTGGTATTTGGTTTGGGAGACTTGTTCACACGCATGTAATTACCATCCAAAACAAAACAAAATTGGGAGAGACAGCAGTAATATCAAAGTCTGAAAACGTCTTGCACATAAAGAAGGCTGTAAAAATATATTGTCTTGAATAAGCTTTATTCCTGGAAAGTGTTTGTTAATTCCTGCCATCAAACATAGCCTCGATCCTACATCTACACCCCACATTTTCACAAATTTCTGGATATTCAGTCAGTTTTCAACTAACTTGGTTCAAATTAAATATATAGATACTTTATATACTATGTACTTTGGCAAACAGAATTTAAAGTTGCTGGAGTTCACTACCTTCTCTGAATTTCAATCTCACTTATTTAATTCATCAACAAATGTCATTACATTTCGAAATAGACATGTTGTCACTTTTGCTTTATTAATCATATAAATTTTGTTTTTTCACAGATCCAAAGAAAGCTACTATTCTCAGATACTCTGACCCGGAACTTGGAACCCGTCAAGTTCCACAGTTCGGAAAACCAGATCTTGGAAAAGTTGCGATATCCTCGTCCTCCACATTTAGTATTGATGTAGAAAATAAAAAAGTGACCCTCAATGAAAATGCAAAGTCCATTGAACTTGGATCTACACTGAGTTATATTGTATCATAAAACTGCGTGTGCAGCTAGCTGCTTCATTAATTGTACTTGTTTATATTCAACTGGAAATTGAATAATTTGCAATAAGAAGTGATGCTTTTAAATCTTCTGAAGATTGTTCACGATCTCATGCACAAGTGATCACTGTATACACACGTATTTTCAAAAACATTTCAGTAACAAACCCCTCCGTCTTCATCTGAATTAAATCATCAAATAAAATGGTGTGTCATACACATAAGTATTATCAGACTCCGCTCAAAATGAAAATACAAACAAAATAACTGTAAACAGTTTAATTTTTCATCTCTGTCAATTTTTGTGATAACTGAACGATATTTCTAGGAACCAAAATTTAAATAATCGGTTGAGTTGCAAAAATTCATGAATTTGTTCTTTGCAAAAAAATGTAGTTTTGAGTATATTTACAATCTTGTGAATACAGTCAACAAGAATGCTATGCATATGAATTAGGCACAACTCCTATTTATTCAGAATTGTGTACAATGTATGTAATTTTCTATTATATTATTGTTTGGAAATACTTTTCATCACTTTTGTAATTCTTCTCGGCAACCCATGGTGGTGTGTTCCGCTCACACCATGCCATAGGCTGTCACCATTAGATACTGGATCCTAGATTGCGAGCTCTATATTATTTGTTGTGTTGTCAATAATTTACATTTGCGTACAATTATACGAGAGCAACTGAGTGATCTGAGAAAGGCACTGTTCTATCCATGATCGACCTTCTCTCTATCTAAACAATTTTAAATTGACGTAGAGTAAATTTAACTGCACAGTTTGGTGATGTCAATGAGTACGTTTTATGCAAATGAGTCTTAAATGAAAATGCTGTTCTTAATTGATATTCAGTTCAACGGTTAAAAATACAGTTTTCAGACCATTAAAGTGGTTGAAATCTATGTATTTCGAGACGATATCATCCAAAATTAGCCCATGTAGCCATTGACGTACTGATCTGTAATTGACATTGAACCATTCATATAACAAAATTCAAGATAGCAACCTTCACACTTTGTCTAATCAACAATATTATAATACTTTTAATTTCTTTGATGAAATGACATCATTTTAATCAATATCTACTATCCGATTTACACCTTTATGATTAAACAGTTTCAAGAAAGTTTCATAACTGAGTCTGAAAATCATTTCATTTCTTTTTTTATGAATCATTGTAAACAGTCATCAATGCATATATGCCCATAATAAATTTCCTGCACGAAAATTCTACAGTTTATGAATTATCATTTTCATGTGACACCATTGTCACTTTCTACAGCTGAGTCTAAGATGCTTCACATATTGTGCTCCTACACATTCCCATTCTTTTGCCACCAATGCCATCTCGGTCAATCAAAACACTATTTGCAGAGTTGACCGTTGCTGGAGAGGTTTAGTGTCAAAATCCTTTCCTGTGTGAGTGAAGTTTGTTGTTGGCTTCATTTACATGTTGAAGTGGTTATTAAAGCGGGTAAGTCGTCACCCGCGCATGCGTCAGATGGCCATAGCGTGTCACTGTTTATAAACAAGCGTCTACCCATGAGCCTTTGCGTTTTTAGCATGTGTTATCATCGCTTGGGGCTCAATTGCCGCACGTATGCAGGTGACGACCCTCTCGCTTTAAAGTAGCATTGTCAAAACTACGCTCATGCACGTTCTTTTGTTTTCTGGTTGACCTTTACTAATATTGCACTGTGTGTGCTATGCAGTTCATTTGAACTCAATAAACATACTCTAAAATGATTTAACTTCACTATTTTAACATTTGAGGCTTTCAGTCCTTGTTCGGATGAAGTATGAAAACAGGGGCTATCAACTTTAGTTTCATCTGTGCATCTGTTTGGAGCCATTTCTTGACATGCTTTGACCAATCTCATTCAAACTTCACATATAGACAATGTGTGGCGACTTACAGGTGCACGTAATATTTTTTCTTTTGTGATTCAGACAAAAATGGCAGATTCTGTTTTTGATTTAATTTCTATCCTGATTCCTCACTTGTATATCACTTGATTTAGTTAAAAGTTCATACTCTATTAAATTACTATACTCGGGGTTGTACTCGTAGTTTTATCAAATTGATGGCCATTTTGTTTAAAATCTTCAAATCAGTCTCTAAATGTGTTCAGAACCATTTTTTGGATGTGCACAGAACAATTTCATTCAAACTTTGTATAAGAATC